ATGCCATCGACCAAGTCAATGAAACTGCACTGCTCCTGTTGCAGCTCATGAGCCTATGGTGACCAGATCTCCGGTAAAATATTTGCACAGATTAGTAGACTTGGACCACACGTGGAAAACGGTATGCTGACAGGCAGACCGACTGTCTGCTTAAATACCTGCAGCTTGCCAGGCATTCCTGCTAGACACTAGGGTTGACACCTGCAGCTTGCCAGGCATTCCTGCTAGACACTAGGGTTGACACCTGCAGCTTGCCAGGCATTCCTGCTAGACACTAGGGTTGACACCTGGTGCTTCAAGTCCATGGATCCCTCTTGGCTTCTTACTTACAGCAACATCAGTGTGAGTCTATGCAGTGGCTTGGCAGAAGCAGGGAAAGTGGGGAAATTCAGGTCACTTACAGTTCTGCTAGCTGTCTATCCTTGGAATCCAGTGCAGACCGTACTGGTCAAGAATGTTGCTGGAGGTCACTATCTGTGCCCTTGTGTTTCTCCAGATGGTCGCCAAACAGTGAGTCAAATATACCAGGTAATCCAGAAGAATTATAACCGAATTATCAGTATTTCACTTAAATGAGAGAATCATCCATCATAAATTGTTAAATATTCTAACTTTGATATTTTGTGTTTTACCGAGTCACATTTAGATAGTAAAATCCCGACTAAACAGCTACTCATTGACCACTATCAACCCCCTTTCAGAAGGGATAGAAATTGTTTTGGTGGAGGTATTATAGTATATTTTTCTGATTTATTACATGTTAAAAGAAGACAGGATTTAGAAACACCTATGTGTGAAATGACGTGGTTCCAGATATTTTTGCCTTATAAATGTTTAATGTTATGTGTGTCATATCGTCCACCTAACACTGGGTCATGTTTTTGGAATTCACTGGATAATTCAGTTAGTTCTGCTCTTGATATATCAAAACACATGGTTTTGCTAGGAGATTTTAATCAAGATCTTATATGTACTCATTTTCACAACATACGTGACCTGATTATTCACTACAACCTACAACATGTTATTACTGAACCACATCAGATATTAGTGATCACAAGGGAACCTATGTCTATCTTTCAAACTTTGTAAATGTCAACAGTGCATACAAGAAGCAAATTTTGTTGTATAACAATGGTAATTATGATGCTTTTATATAATCTGATTAGGGAAACTAAATGGGAGAGTATTTTTTCTAAAACTCAAAATGTTAACAACGCTTGTGCAATATTTACTTCTCTGCTTAAGGAATATATGGTTAGATGTATCCCAACTCGGAACGTTACAGTTAGACCTAAAGAAAACCTTGGTTTGACAGTGAACTTCGGAGAGAAATTAGAAAAAGAGACCGTTTAAGGAAAAGAGCATTTCGAACACTGAATACTTCTGATGTATCTAAACTCAAAAGGCAGAGGAATAAAGTAAACAATCTTAAAAAAATAGCCAAGTAAAATTTTATTCGAATTTAGGCAGTTTTTTATGTTCTCACTATTCAATCAGCAGATTATTGGAAGGTTTTTAATTATTTGTTGAAAGGTTCTACTTCATCAGGACCCATTCCCCCTCTCGTAACTGATGATTCCGGAATACCTTCAGCATTTACAGACATTGACAAAGCCCAAACATTGAAAAAATATTTTGTATCTGTTTCCAATATCAATGATGAGGGCAAGACTTTGCCACCTGTTTGCCATCACTGTCCCAACAGCATTACAAGCGTTAGTGTTACTGAAAAGGAAGTATCGGATATGATTAAGACTTTACCAGCAAACAAATCTAGTGGACCTGATGGTATTAATATGAGAATATTAAAACGAATTTGTACATCAATAGCTGAACCTCTTTGTTCACTGTATAATATTTCTTTGAGTCAGTGTATTGTACTAATTAAGTTAAGGCCCATAAGTTTATTATCTATCCTTGGGAAATGTTTTGAAAAAATGTTGTTAAAGCATTTACAAAACAATTTCAATAAACATAGCATTTTAAGTAAATTTCAATCAGGTTTTACTACAAACCACATCTCAACTCACTGAAATTTATCACAATATATGTTCAGCTCTAGATACTCATCACCTTTATTGTATGATTGTTTTGGGTGACATTTCAAAGGCCTTTGACAGGGTGTGGCATAAAGGGTTATTGCACAAATTAGAAAATTATGGTGCTCATGGTTCAGAGTGTTTCCATCAATGGTACATTATCAAAAGAATTAAATAATAAATGTTACTGCAAGGGTTCCTCAAGGATCTGTCCTTGGTCCATTTTTGTTCCTTGTGTACATCAATGATTTACCTGAAACTCTAACAAATGTCCCAAGACTGTTTGCCGACGACACTTCAATTGGTGTTGCAGGAAAAGATGCAAAAACCATAGAAGCTACTCTTAACTATGATTTAGCAAAATTGAATGAATGGGCTGACAAATGGTTAGTTAAGTTTAACCTGAATATGACAAAATTCATGCTTTTTAAAAATGGAAATTGTCCTCAAGTTCCTGACTTGATTTTCAATAATGGACATTTGGAACGTGTACATCAACATAAACACCTCGGTGTCATCTTTTCAGATAATACAAAATGGTCTCATCATGTATCTGCTGTAATAGAAAAGGCCTAAAAAATTCTTCATTACGGACGCTAAAGTACGTATTACCTAGATATATCCTTTCTAGTGTGTATGAAATGTATATTAGACCTATTTTAGAATACCGGTATGCATCTGAGGTCTGGGATAATTGCCCAAGCTTTATTTGTGATAAACTTGAAATGTTACAACTTGAAGCAGCAAGAATTGTCAATTCCTCATTACGGACGCTGAAGTACATATTACCTAGATATATCCTTTCTAGTGTGTATGAAATGTATACTAGTATTAGACCTATTTTAGAATACCGGTATGCATCTGAGGTCTGGGATAATTGCCCAAGCTTTATTTGTGATAAACTTGAAATGTTACAACTTGAAGCAGCAAGAATTGTAACCGGATAGCCTAAATTCGCTTCAGTTTAGACAGTGAAACTGGTTGGTTACCACTGGAAGTTAGACGAACACCAAGAAAACTCTGTACATTCTACAAAATTGTTAATATGCAAGCTCCTGATTACCTGATAGATTTACTTCCACCTTTTACTGAAACCATTTCAGGATACAACTTGCGTAACAAATCAAATTTGGCTATTCCTAAATTTTGCACCTCAATTCTCCAAAAGTCATTTATTTATGTTTCTGCAAGTTTATGGAATGCTCTCTCCTCTACAACAAAATGTACAAATTCATTATCATCGTTTAAATCAAAGTTATCTATAAAAAATGACAAAGCTCCAAAATATAGTACACACAAAGCTAGACATTTGTGTAGTTAATTACATGCAGATCTGTTTCATGTAAAATTTATCAGAGAGTTAAGCTTGCAATTGTGGTGCTCCGGTGGAAGATGCTAATCTTTTCTTTTTAAAATGTCCAAACTTTGTCAGCTGCCATTTTGATCTGAAGCAAGACTTTGAACTATCAAAAGTTCACTTAGACATTGCCAAATACTATTAATGAAAATATCTTTAGACATGTGCATAAATACATTGTACGAAGTAAGCGCTTTTATTAATGAATAATATAATAATAATATAATATATCACGTCCATTCATTACGTCCATTCATTATTGTTCATGTTTCTGATGGGAGCAGGTGGTAAGTTACAAACCTGTGCCCAATCCCTTTCAACAGTGAATAAATTATGTTCAAACAAGGAGGAAGTTCTTCCTACTCTGTTTAGTTAGAGGTAGAGGTAGATTAGCAGGGTGAAGTGGATAGATAGTAGAAAAAACTGCTGACACATCCATATCGTTTTTGCTGTTTCCCTTGTTGGCTTTTTTAACGATTTCAGTCTTCTTGTGAAATGTTGACTGTGAGAGTGAAGAACATCCCTGTCAATATGCATCCGAAATTAATAACCAACAACTAATATGAATAGGAAAACAACAATTAATAAAAATGAATACACAATGCCATTTAGAAAGTGGTCAAATGTAACATGTTATATTTGGGATTACACTTTCTCAGTAAAGTACAGATTCTTGTACTTTTCTTGATGTTTCCTCCAGGACATACAGGAAATATGCAAACTTTTCCCCAACTATATGCAAATACAGATACAACTACTTATGTATAGTTATAAGTCAGGAGGATTTTTGGTGAAAATTTGAAGAATAAATCAAAATGATAACAACCAAATTATATGATTATGGCAATGATGTTATAGAGGTCTAATAGTTCCTTCTACCATAGCATCAAAACTAGTGTTGGGAATTGGTTAAAATCTCATAATTGATGATTGGTTCATTACAACCTATCAATCATCGAAAATAATTGGTTAGCGTCATTTATGATAATTTTTCAACATCAGGAGTACATACTCTTTATTTTTTCAATATAGGAGTAATGGAAAAACTTAAGACTAAGACTACATTTAGAGTACTGAATGGAAATTAGTAATCAGTAATCTTGTGTTTCGTTTCATATATGCACCACAACATTGCTAGTCTTGTGTAAACAGGTCAATAAACAATAAAACAATACTTTTTCAGATACATACATCAGTAAATGATTCTTAGACCGTACGCCTTTGCTGTGGTGTTTATCTGCTAAGTTTTCAAAATTATTTCCTACCGTATTGTGCATATTTTTATCAGTACATAAGTATGGGTAAGTATGCATTATACCTGGCTGTGCACTTTAGCATAATGCGCAAGGTAAATTTGGAAATTGCTCACCATACACAAGAACATCCAGTACATGACGGAAGCTGGAGAGTGTGTAAAAAGGCTATATTCAAGAAGCAAGAACACTGTGGAAAGAATGGTCAGTTGTGGCACAGTGACATGATTTGTGTCTTTTATGTTTTTGCTTTGAATTATTCAAGTGAAAGACACACATTTCTTCTTCAATGCAAACACCGAGTCAAAGAAGACTAACAAAACTAAATCTGTAAAAAATACAAAAGGCTTTAAACCACACCATATGTTTACTGAAGAGCAAATTTCAATGATGCACACAGAAAATAAAAACAAAAATAACATTTTCATTATGGCTACCATGCTGGCAATATTTGAAATTCGGTAAGCACTTTGCAGGGTCAGACCCAATAACATTTGCTTGGATAAACATTTCAGCTTATTAAAACAAGTGTTGTCAGTGAGTGTGTGAACAGAAATCTCTATACAACCTTATATAACAAACATTATACTTGGGGAAAATCACAAATATTTTGAGAGATGTGGAAACTACAAAATGTTAAATGGAATATATGGATGGACAGAGGATTAATTCCTGGCTAAACAAAGAGAAGGTGTATTATTTTGGACTCCTGAATCCTCTACTAACTTCTGACTAATGTGCCTCCCTCAGGAGAGCACTGTAAACTGGAAGCAGTCATCAAAACAACGTATCATTTATCACAGATACAGCGTATGTACAGGAGCATATCAGTGGCATGTAAAATACTCCGGGAAAGAGAAATAAAATGGGTTTTGTCATTTATTTCGTAGTTTTGAACACAACTAAAGTTTGATTGTTAAATATTCTATGACTATCGTTTTTCCCAACGTTTGTTTTTAACACTTTCTGTAAACTCATCTGAAATAGAGGAGTTTACAGAAGAGCAAATCGTGTCATTTTTACCCCTTGATATTTCATCAAAGTCAAAATGTATGTTTCTGATGCAAGCTATAGTATGCAAATGAGATGTACTCACCATAGGTTCGTGTACATAATATATTTTATGAAAAACGTCATATACTATTCATCCTTTGTTTCTTTTATCCTAGACTTTGCTATCGTAATTGATATACTTCCAGTAAACAATGCTGCAGTTAGCTGTTACCACCCATTATTGATTGTGAGGCAAGTTTTCTAAATTTCTAAAATAGTGTAGTTATTCATGGCCAAACACTGACCATATATGGTGTAGTATATCATGGCCAGACACTGACCATATATGGTGTAGTCTATCATGGCCACACACTGACCATATATGGTGTAGTCTATCATGGCCAGACACTGACCATATATGGTATAGTGTATCATGGCCACATACTGACCATATATGGTGTAGTCTATCATGGCCAGACACTGACCATATATGGTATAGTGTATCATGGCCACACACTGACCATATATGGTATAGTGTATCATGGCCAGACACTGACCATGTGCAGTGTAGTATATCAATGCCACTGACTGCGTATAGTGTAGTCTGTCATGGCCAAACACTGACCATATATGGTGTAGTCTATCATGGCCAGACACTGACCATATATGGTATAGTGTATCATGGCCACATACTGACCATATATGGTGTAGTCTATCATGGCCAGACACTGACCATATATGGTATAGTGTATCATGGCCACACACTGACCATATATGGTGTAGTCTATCATGGCCACACACTGACCATATATGGTGTAGTCTATCATGGCCAGACACTGACCATATATGGTATAGTGTATCATGGCCACACACTGACAATGTGTGGTGTAGTATATCACTGCCACTGACTGCGTATAGTGTAGTCTGTCATGGCCAAACACTGACCATGTCTCATGTAGTCTGTCATGGCCAGACACTGACCATATATGGTATAGTCTGTCATGGCCACACACTGACCATATATGGTATAGTGTGTCATGGCCACACACTGACCATATATGGTATAGTGTATCATGGCCACACACTGACCATATATGGTGTAGTCTATCATGGCCACTGACTGACCATATATAGGTCATAGTCTACCATGGCTAGTGTACACTGTCATGACCATATATGGTATGGTGTATCATGGCCACACACTGACAATGTGTGGTGTAGTATATCACTGCCACTGACTATATATAGTGTAGTCTGTCATGGCCAAACACTGACCATATATGGTGTAGTCTATCATGGCCAGACACTGACCATATATGGTATAGTCTATGTATCATGGCCATATATGGTACACACTGACAATGTGTGGTGTAGTATATCACTGCCACTGACTCGCGTATAGTGTAGTCTGTCATGGCCAAACACTGACCATGTCTAGTGTAGTCTGTCATGGCCAGACACTGACCATATATGGTATAGTGTATCATGGCCACACACTGACCATATATGGTATAGTGTGTCATGGCCACACACTGACCATATATGGTATAGTGTATCATGGCCACACACTGACAATGTGTGGTGTAGTATATCACTGCCACTGACTGCGTATAGTGTAGTCTGTCATGGCCAAACACTGACCATGTGCAGTGTAGTATATCATGGCCACTGACCATGTGCAGTGAAGTATATCATGGCCACTGACCATGTGCGGTGTAGTATATCATGGCCAGACTCTAATGGCTAGTAAGGTAAATGATTTGAAGCATGTAATTATTAAAGTTTTCCAGTTTGTACACGTTGTGTATGACTACAGGAGCATGGTGAACCTTCATAGTGACGGCTGAGCTTCCTGAATATCTGAGCTTTCCATCATATTCATCAAGTTCATACAATGTCCAATATGCTCATTGATGCATAATTTGTAAGCTACAGTCTGGGGTAGTGTGTACACAAACTACAAGGCTCTGTGTCTGTGTGTGTATGTCCACATGAAAACTGTGACATCAGTTGGTCAAGCCAAAGAAATTTACCACTGGCACTTGTGCTCTATGTAACATTTGTACAATCATATTAATTTTGTATTATTAAGCATTATAACTGGTATCAGTAATTTGCCCAGGTACAAATTGTGAAGAGTTGTTGATCAATAGTTACACAATCCATTCTCGTGACGGGTCTGTTGGTGATTATTTTCCAGCACTTGATGTGCTGCTGCTGCTGCTGTTGTTTGTCATCACTGTTGTGAGCTCCAGCCATAATGACGACACAAAACATCATCTGCAAACAACAAAGGAAATTTCCATTCACTTGATCTTTGTAAGATTTCTTACAAGCATAATCATACAAATTGTCATTACAAAACCAAACCTCACTACTACAATTACAAAACCTCAACTTTACTTGCTAAATGTAAAACAAAAAATACATGAAATGCATGCCATGAGTTATTATACTGTTTAAACATGTCAGAGCATTTTGTGTTACTTCATATTGACTGGAAATGTGTTTGAGTCACATGCTTAAGCGGAAACAGAACCTTTTCCTGTAGGCACCAAACTTTCCACCAGAAACAGGTATTACGAACAATGTGGACTTTACCACATCAGGTTACAACTAACTTCACCAATATCTATCAATATTCCTCACTGATCAATTATATCTTCAAAGGCCTGTTGCTACACTATATTTTGATGACATCACAACCTTTTCTTAACAGAAGTCCCATGCCTTTAGAGTGGTGAAAAATGGTATATATGTATTTCTAGTTTCATAGCCTTTAGAGTGGTGAAAAATGGTATATATGTATTTCTAGTTTCATAGCCTTTAGAGTGGTGAAAAATGGTATATATGTATTTCTAGTTTCATAGCCTTTAGAGTGGTGAAAAATGGTATATATGCTAGTTTCATAGCCTTTAGAGTGGTGAAAAATGGTATATATGTATTTCTAGTTTCATAGCCTTTAGAGTGGTGAAAAATGGTATATATGTATTTCTAGTTTCATAGCCTTTAGAGTGGTGAAAAATGGTATATATGTATTTCTAGTTTCATAGCCTTTGAGTCTCAGTTTCAACCAATCTGAATTTGTTTTTTTTCTTGTTGAATACTGTAAATCTTGAAACTGATGCACCTCCATACTGAACACTGTAAATCTTGAAACTGATGCACCTCCATACTGAACACTGTAAATCTTGAAACTGATGCACCTCCATACTGAACACTGTAAATCTTGAAACTGATGCACCTCCATACTGAACACTGTAAATCTTGAAACTGATGCACCTCCATACTGAACACTGTAAATCTTGAAACTGATGCACCTCCATACTGAACACTGTAAATCTTGAAACTGATGCACCTCCATACTGAACACTGTAAATCTTGAAACTGATGCACCTCCATACTGAACACTGTAAATCTTGAAACTGATGCACCTCCATACTGAACACTGTAAATCTTGAAACTGATGCACCTCCATACTGAACACTGTAAATCTTGAAACTGATGCACCTCCATACTGAACACTGTAAATCTTGAAACTGATGCACCTCCATACTGAACACTGTAAATCTTGAAATTGATGCTCCTCCATATTGATGAGACAAAAGTGTGACTCAATATTAATCAAAAAAGAAAGTGTTTTTACTCATAAAACTCATGTGTTCCCCTTCCCCCAATTCAACATTGAGACCTCAAACAATTCATTTGATTCCTTCAATTTCAAAACCTCTAAGTATGAAAATACATATCATTGATAGTATGTTATCATATTTGTAAAGTCTTCATTTAAAATTTATATATTCAGTTGAACTTAATTGCTTATCAACAAATCAACAAATTAACAACTCCACAGTTGTGTGAAGATGGGTGAAGTGGTTTTAGAGTTTTTGGGTTCTCCGAACACAAACCCTACCCTTCAAAAAGACTGAGTCCAAATTTGGTGACATCATTTGTGGGAGACAGGTGGCATTTGTCATCTCTTGATGACTGTTGCATGTTTATATTTATTACCCACGTGGTCAACGTATGGGTAGTTGCATACTAATCTTATATGTCACACGAGTGTTGTATCGTGTTGACCTGAGATTCAAAGATTTGATTGGATAACCAATGACCTCTCAATTAGGTCACGTTATGACGGAACAACTTTTTCATTCATAACAAACACGTGAATTCATTCATTCTATGACTTATATGCATTGTGGGAATGTAAACATTGCGAACGTTACCGTATTGCTGTTTAATTGTGAGTCGAAATGAGACATTATATGCTTCGAAAAACATAAACGCAAAGTTTCCACCAGTGATGTTAGCCAAGGGAGCAACGGCAAACTAAGAAACAGGGTGCTACGGAGTAGTTTAATGTAGGAGGGTGTATGAGGCAATGACAACTGACATGCATCGTGACGTCGGTTACCAAGGGGGCAGATGAGCAAGGCGTAGTGACATCATTACAGTGTGACGTCATGCAAAAAGTGTACTACAGAACAACGTTCTTCCGCAACCTCTTTATGAAACAGGTTTCGGTTTGAAACCATAAAAATAACAAAAATATGCTATTTTGTCAATTTAATGCATGTAAGATGTGGGTAACAAGAGTCATCAGAAGATGACATATCCCCCCGGCCCCCACATCTTTGAAAGAACAAATCATCTGACAGTTACTTAAAGTCCAGCTTGACTTTACACTAAGAGAGCTTCAAAAAGCTTGTGCAAATCCTTTCCATGGAAATGACTGACTGACTGACTGAGTTTAGTTTTACGCCGCTTTTAGCAATATTCCAGCAATAACACGGCGGGGGACACCAGAAATGGGCTTAACACAATGTGCCCATGTGGGGAATCGAACCCAGGCCTTCGGCGTGACGAGCCAACGCTTTAACCACTACACTACCCCACAGCCCTCCATGGAAATGATGAAAAACATAAATGACAAAAATCTGCAAATAGCTAAAGGCACCACTTTAAGGTTCTGTTTGATATATCTACCAAGATTTGTTGTAAAATATTTAACGGTTCTTGAGTTGTGCTCCAGAAACGAAACCCACCCCTCCCTTTTGGGACTAAGTCTGAATCGTTTCCATGGAAACCGGGAAAAATAAAAATGTCAAAAATCTGCAAATAGCAAACGGCACCACTTAGGTTCTGTTTGATATATCTACCTAGTCTTGTTGAAAAATATTTAACGGTTTTTGAGTTATGCTACAGAAATGAAGCCCACCCGTCTTTAAGACTAAGTCCAAAACAATTCCATGGAAACCGAGAAAAATTAAAATGACAATAATCTGTAAATGGCAAAAGGCACCACCTTAGGTCATGTTTGACATATCTACCAATTTTTGTTGAAAAATATCGAACGGTTTTTTAGTTATGCTCCGGAAACAAAATGATTACTGGCGAACGGACAGACGGACGAGGCGACGACTATATCCCCCCACATTACAGGCCGGGGAAATAATAAATAAAATACCACACTCGGTCTCATAACATCCAAATTATACGAAACTCGTGACCTTCCTTTGGTATAGGAAGGACACTCGTTTCGTATAATTCGTATGTAATGGGACCTCGTGTAGTATTCTCTATTGGTAATTCCACCATCTGAAGTGAAACAATGATAGAAACACCCATTTTAGAAACATAAATGCAAAGTTTAATTGATGCAAGCAAAGACCTCTTGCATTTTTCACATTTAATTATTCCCTCTCAGGTTAATTCCAAGGTTTACAGTACATGGATATTATGCACTTACAAATATGTCATAAGATATTTTTACTCCTGTGATTGTGAGAATACATTTGATTTTGACTGAAAACCAATTCAACAACACATTAAAAGCTATCCAGCACATAAACCTTATATAATGTCCCTTGGTGGAGTCAATGTAATGGCTATGTCTGCTTCAAAACAACAAACAATGATGAACCTGGAGACTTTCTGATTGAAACTTACATCATACACAGTTCCAGAGATGCCAACCCTATTTTGGGCCTAAGTGTAAAACTGGAGGTCAAAAAGTGTAATACTTAAAAAAAGTACTTAGTGAAAGGTGATAACTTTTTAAGAAGGTTTATTCACAAAATTGTTGGTCATGTGACACAAAATACTTTAAGTCCTTACAAGTTAATTGCAATGAGCACTATGCTAAGAGTAAGACCATTTCTGAGCCCCTGTACCGGTGCGTCATGAAAGACTTCCCTGTGAAATTTTATCCACTTTTTTTATTTTTGTAAAACGAGTAGAAAAGTGTAATTTTCACAGATTAAGTGTAATGGCGTAATTAAATGGTCAAAATCGTAATAATTACGCCCAAAGCGTAAGGGTTGGCATCTCTGCAGTTCATTCATCTAAACATTCCTGACCTGGTCCTCTTGTGGCCATGTGATTAGTGGTGAATCATCATTTATTAATACTGGAAATCCTTTTTGTTGGTCTGTGGATCATCTCCAAAGTTTTCTCCCCCTCTTCAACTCTACTGCCCGGCTCTTAATAGTGGCAAAGTAAAAGGAACATCATCGCTTACCTAGCTACTTTGATGCCTGCAGAAATATACTACTCCAGCTGTATAACAGCAGTCTTTTAACAGTCAAATCTGGACCAGACAATTCACAGACAGACATCAACGATTTACACAATGGGATATGATGACAAATATGAATCAGTCAGTGAACCTAACCATTTGTTGCCGAATTAGTTGCCACAAACATAAGCAGACCAAGTGTGAAGACCAATTCTAACCCTGTGTTCCAGGTTGAATCTTCTCCCGGCCAGCTCATATCAAAATAGCCAATGCTAAACACACACCCCGTAATACGAACCAGCGATAAGACGTTTGCTTGTGGCCGTTACGGTTTGCTATGTACAGAGTAATGGCTCGCTACGGCTGAATAACATTAGCTGTGTCACGGTGACAGGTACAACTTATCATATTTATACGCTATATTGGAAAAATCTTGTCAATCATAGATAGTCAATATTTAGATGAAGTATTGTAAATGAGAATGTGTTCAAGGAATTGTTATGAGCCTTTGATTCCAAACAGAGTTGATGCTTTCGATTTCATTTGCTTATTATTATCTAAATTTGTCGTAAAGAGAAATTCAATATATATATTTATGTTCAAGAAGCATTACCATAACATGATTGTTAACTGCATTGACTGCTAGATGTCAAGAAAGGCTGATATGACATAATATTCACAACAGTTTATAAATTTGATGCTATGGTCGCTAATGGTAAGCCATGTGCGTAAATACGGTTTGCTACGGTGTCTGTTACCG